AAAACAAGAGAAGAAGAAAAAGCAGCTGAAGCAGATTTCACTGCAGCCAAAAGGATCTTGTTAACCAGAACTCATTATTTCAGCCACTCCAAATGTTAAATCAACAAAACAGACGCTAAAAGTCAAAATTAGCAAAACTGTAGCTTATCGCTAATTTTAGTGAATCAGTTGCTACAAGCTGAAATTWAAAAAAAACATTAGCTTGTAGCTAATATTAGAAGAATATTAAGTTTTAACTCAAATGTAATCTTTGCTAACAGTTGCTACAAGCTATAATTTGGAGAAGTACTAGCTAAAGTCAACTGAAAAGATTTTAGCTGTAGGGATATTTTAAACATTTTGCTACGATATACACTTAGTAAAAAAACTAAAAGTAACTAAAATTAGCTAAATTTGAGCTAAGAGTTTCATCAAACCAGTTAAAGATTTGTTCAAATGAACTAAAAGCTAACACCGGCAAAACAATTGCGATTACATACAAAATATCAGCTAAAATCTAAAACCAACAAAGCAGTAGCTTAAACCCATTTTAGCAAACTTGTAGCTAAAGATTAATTAAATTAAAATCTAAACCTTAATACAAAATTAGCAAAACACTAGCTTATAGCTACAACTGGCAAAACTGCTGCAAAACAGCAAATAAGCGTAACAGTATCCAAAAGCCAAAATTAGCAAAACAGAAGCTAATCGTTCATTGTAGCATATCAGCTGCTATAAGCTAAAACTATTAGATAAAAAATATTAGTGAGCAGCTGATAGAGGAATACTAGAAAATAGAGAAAACCTGCAAAACAGTAGCTAAAATTAAAACGTTTTGCAAACCAGTTGCTACAGTTCAGAGAAACTCTAGCTTAATTAAAATGGCAAAGCTAAGCGCTAAAACCAGCACACCTTTTAAAGAAATAGCTAAATATTTGCTTTAGAGATATTTTACTAAACTTGTTGCTGCAAGCTAAATTRAGTAAAAATAGGAACTAAAAGCTAAGACTGACAAACAGTAGCTAATTGCTAACACTAGCAAAATAAAGCTTAAAACTAACCAAAGCGCAAATAAGATAAAACCAACAAAACACTAGCTAAAATTAGCAAAAGCAAAAAGTTAATTTCATCAAATCAATTACTACAATTTTAAATTTGTAAAAACAAACCTGAAAACAGCAAACAGCCAGGRCCTAAAGCCAACTTTACCAAACCAGTAGCTAAAAACCAAACAGAATCTAAACCTCAATACTGGCAAAACAGCAGCTAACAGCTAAGGCTTGCCAAACAGCTAAAATTCAGAACTAGCTTAACAACCTAAACAAGGTAAACATTGAGATGCATGAGTAGCTGAAAGTTAGCTGAAGTAGCTGCAGCTAAAAGAAACAACAGTTCTGAATGATTTGCATGGATGTGGCGAGCTAACTGCGGAGTTCGGTTTGAATTCCAGAAACCAACTGGACGTCAACAAAACTGTGTGTGTCCATATTTTCCTATTATGTCTCCTTATTCAGCTCATTAACTCATAATCTTGTGGATCTGGAGGAGGAAGGGGCGGAAACACGGCTCAAAGGCAGGAAAGTGTTTGTGAAAACAAACAGCAGAGAGCTGATTTGGTTCGAAGCTGCAGGAAAGAAAAGAAGTTAAAACCCAGACAGGACCGAGCAGAACTCGAGGCTGGGTGAAGGCATGACGGGGGAGTTGGAAGGCGAAGTTGGTGACTTGGAGCGGAGTTTTATCAGCTGCCAACTGCTGCTGTGGTGTGTTTATGTGYGTGTGTGTGTGTGTGTGTGTGTGTGCGCGCGGTATGATTGAACAGTTTCAGGATCGCAGCCAGTGTTTGACTTTGTTCAGTGTGTGTATGTTTGGAGGGCGTGGACGAATGGATGCTCGTGTGGTTTGCAGTATTTTCTTCTCTGAGGTTTGCCAGCAGAGTCGCGGTGACGCTTTTATATTCAGAGTCCGGGACATTTGTTTTGTATCTTAACGCTAATGTTTTCAGGGTCTTTAATGGATTCCAAAAGCTGCTTGCTTTAAAACTTCACGCCCCCCACCCCAGATTCTTGTTTTTTTTCTGGTTTTCTTCTGTGTAGAGTTGAAGTCAGGCCAACATCTGGTTCCATTTTCTGATTCCGCAGACATTTACACCCCGCCATTGTTTCTATCGCCTGGTTTGTGCTCGCAGTTGGCTGCAGCTAAATGTTTTTATGGATAGATAAAGTAGTTTTTRCTGGTTCCTGCTCTGTCGAGAAGCAAATGAGTTCAGTGTGTTTGAGGTCATTACTGCTCAAAAGTTTTAAACCAACTTTTTTCTTTTGTGATCATGTTGTAAATGTTTATAGCTACACTCRATCTTTCTATTGATGAGCATTCCAATCAGAAATGCTAACATTTTATTAACGTTTAATAATGACAGCTTTTGTTACCAGAATCTCTCATGAACCACTGGTATTTTTTAAAGGATGTATAATAAGGAGAAATTAGACTAAGGTTTTGCACAGAAAGATAAAACCAAATATATAATGACGAACTATACCAGTCTTTAAATATCTGATAGAATGATCTAAAACCTCAAMCTTTTGTTTTCTTATGTTTAACAAATCGAACAGGGAAAAAGATGTTTATGGAAACCAGCTTTAAAAAAACAAAAGCAATGGAAGATTGAAGAGAGAGAACTCCTGATGGGTAGAGGAGGAAAAACGATACGCTTTAATCTGAGCTGGCAGCCTGCAAGCGGACAGAGGCAGATCATAGAAACCAGTCATTCAGATCTGACGACCATTCAAATCGAGCGGTCACACTGGGAGGCTTCTGGACCCAAAGTGCTGATGAACTACTTTACTAGTTGACGTAATTCAAGTCAAACATTAACCTAAAAATAAAACGATGCCGAGTCCCTGTGGGGCTGAGAAGACTCTGAAACACTGTTTAGGGTTAGTGAATAAAAAGGAAGGAGAAACAAAGGAGTGTTTTCCAGACATCTACTGAGAAATCTGAGCAAAGTTTAAATTCCAAAAATCCCTAAAATAATCAGAAAAACCCAAAAGGATAGCAAAACATACTACAGCGTGCAATGTACCGGGTTTGCACTTGGTAATTATCAGACCAACCAGCCTCACTTTGGGCCCTTAACCCCTCAGCTGCTCCCCGGGCGCTGTAATTGGCAGCCCACTGCTCCACGTGTTCACATGTGGGATTGGTTAAATGCAGAGAATTAATTTCCCCACCAGGGAATCAATACAGTGTATATAAAAAAAATTACAGGATATAAGCTTAGTATGAACTGGGTACCTACTGAATATAATTTCCCTGATAAGTACTGTGTAAGTATGAGATACCCTACATGGCACGCACCTCACTCCTACACTGTATGTATGTCACTTATAGGGTACGCACTTGGCTCTTTCACTTGGTCCTTTCCAGGTACACTTTTCTTTTGGCACTTCCAGGGTACGCACCAGGCTCCTTCAGGGTACGCACCAGGCTCTTGCAGGGTACGCACCAGGCTCTTGCAGGGTACGCACCAGGCTCCTTCAGGGTACGCACCATGCTCTTGAAGGGTATGCACCAGGCTCTTGCAGGGTACACAGCAGGCACTTCCAGAGTACACACCAGGCTCTCTTAAAGTACACAAGTGGCACTTACAGGGTACTTGTGTTTATAGGGTGCACAGAGTTAAAAACCACACCAAGTAATAAAAAATAATAATAATGTTGATCTGCCCAACTTTAATACAAAAGTATGTTTCAATAGAATAAAAAGTAACCCCATGGGCGACTCCAAATATGTGTACAAATCGAGCTGAGGCAGGTACGATGTGGACAACTGAAAAAGGTTTACAGCCTCGATTACAGTTTTGCAAACTGTGCACACAAAAATAAGCCATGGTTTTCAAAAATTGGCAGGAATCATCTCTGCAAAGCTTGCTGGTTGAAAACCAAATTCAGTGAGACTGCAACTGAAAWTTTTTCCCACAGTTTTGTTTCCCCCCCAGCTCGTTGCAGCCCAGTCCGATAAGGTGAACCATTCAAAATACCTGGCTCACAATTTTCTCCTCTAAATGCTGCTGTTCGTTTGAACCTCAGCTGTGGGTTGTTTTCTAAGGAAACAATGGAATGGCAGATTTGGTTTGTCACAGTGATGATTTGTGCAGCCAGCTGATAAGTATGAGACTACCATGTTGTTGATTTTAGGTRAAAATATCCCACTTTTAACAGGAAAGACAACATGACGACAAACTAACAAAAGAAACTTTGAAGGATAAACACAGTTTACCTGATTCTCTGACAAAAGCCGCATGTGTTCTTTTCATATAAAACCTTCTCCTCAGGAAAATAAAGAAATAAAAACATCAATCTGCCARGAACCACCTTTGTTTGTGCTCCATTTCTCTGCCAAGTCTCAACAGTTCGAACAAAACCTTTCTGACAGAAATACAAGCAAACTGAAATCATCAGCCCTCAAAGAAGAAAAGAACAAGGCACCCAAAACAATGTGGGGTGCCACAAGCATCTGAAGTGGATGAGAGAATGAAGAGATCAGCTCAGGCCGGGACATGTTGAGCTCTGAATGACTCTTAACGAGGATCTGTGTGTAATTAAAGGATTTACTGCGATCACTTTTCCACTTAAAGCTGACAGAAGGCCTAGCCATGAATCTCTGAGTCTAAAAAATGCTGCCTTTATTTCCAAAAAGGTAGGGAAATCAGGCAATTATTAAAGTATTTAATTTATTCATTTAGCATAAACAAAATAAATACATTTTTTGAGTTACCTTATTATGAAAARAAAAAAAAGAAAAGCATGTTCAGGTCAGGAACTGTCTGATTTATGTGAGAACTGTTTGTCTTAAAAACAGCCTGGAGCCTCAAATTAACCCCTGATCTCACCATCATCTAACAAAAACACAAACAAAAAAAAAAGCTTGAATGGAAACCCACGGCAAAAAACCTTTTAAAAACAGAACAAAAACTTGTAAAATTATTCATGTTTGATGACAGGGTTTTCAATAGAAATTCCTACCTGATCAAATTTCAGGTCTGGTGGTCTCTGATGACATCAATCACCTGACTCCCCTGAAAGAAACCAGAAAAGACTCGTTGGGAGGAGAAAAACAACATTTGGGGGTGATTATGGGATTTAAAGCAGGAGCCATTAGTCGTCTGATATGTGGAGGAATGAAGTGTTTGTTACTGATCAGGCTCAGACCACATCAGAGTTAACAGGTTTAGTTTATTTGCTCCTATAATCTCCAGCTTCTTAAACACCCTGATGTTGCTGAATAACCGTGAGAATGTCAGGACTGATGGAAATGTGTCTAAAAATGATTTGAAACCAGAATTAATATTTAAGAGCAGGAGAACACTTTTTAAAGTTTTTCTAGTTACATACGCAGTACATACCTCAGATGTGCACCCATTAAGTTCCTCAGGTATGCACCTGTTTTCAATCAGTACCTCAAAGATATAACCCGGGTAACTTGCCAGCAAGTATACTCCAGGTACGAATCTGCTGAGTACACCCCAGTTACCAAGTATGCACAAGTACGTAGCAAGTAAGAATACCCCAGGTACTTAAACAACAAGAATATTCAGTGCACGTATCTGGTTACACTCCGGTTACGAAGACTGCAAATAAGCACAAGTACGTGGCCAGCAAGAATACCCCAGGTACATAGCCCGACGAGTACACCACAGGTACGAAGCCCGGCAAGTACACCACAGGTACGTAGCCCGACAGGTACGCCACAGGTATGTAGCAAATGAGTACACCACAGGTACGTAGCCCGACGAGTACACCACAGATACGTAGCCCAACGAGTACACCACAGGTACGTAGCCCAACGAGTACACCACAGGTACGTAGCCTGACGAGCACACCACAGGTACGTAGCCCAACGAGTACACCACAGGTACGTAGCACGACGAGTACACCACAGGTACGTAGCCCGACGAGTACACCACAGGTACGTAGCCCGACAGGTACACCACAGGTATGTAGCAAATGAGTACACCAAAGGTACGTAGCCCGATGAGTACACCACAGGTATGTAGCCCGACGAGTACACCACAGGTACGTAGCCCGACGAGTACACCACAGGTACGTAGCCCGACGAGTACACCACAGGTACGTAGCCCGACGAGTAAAACCACAGGTACGTAGCCTGACGAGTACATCACAGGTATGCAGCCTGACGAGTACATCACAGGTACGTAGCCTGACGAGTACACCACAGGTACGTAGCCGATGAGTAAAACCACAGGTACGTAGCGGACGAGTAAAACCACAGGTACGTAGCCGACGAGTAAAACCACAGGTACGTAGCCGACGAGTAAAACCACAGGTACGTAGCCGACGAGTAAAACCACAGGTACGTAGCCGACGAGTAAAACCACAGGTACGTAGCCGACGAGTATACCACAGGTACGTAGCCGGCAAGTATACCACAGATACGTAGCCGGCGAGTACACCACAGGTACGTAGCCGACGAGTATACCACAGGTACGTAGCCGACGAGTATACCACAGATACGTAGCCTGCGAGTACACCACAGGTACGTAGCCGGCGAGTACACCACAGGTACGTAGCCGGCGAGTACACCACAGGTACGTAGCCAGAGAGTAAACCTCAGGTACATCACCAGCAGGCATATTCGTATTAGCACTCAGTACATATCCTGTTAGTACTCCAGGTTTGTATACTCATAGGTACCACAGGTACATATCCTGTAAGGTGTATACACTGTAAGAACCCCAGGTACATACACCGGGTATGTTCCTGGACATATTTACCTTTAGTTATAAATTAACTCGTGTACTTGTACAAAATGTGTGTATGTACGTTTGTTCTAAGAAATGGACCAGATCTGGACAAATCTTAGCAACTCAGAGTTTTTTATGTATACAGTAATTTCCTTAATATCTTTATCGCCTCTTTAACAAATAAAGTAAAGCAAGAAGTTTGATCATTTTTAATCAAAAAATATGGCTGATTATATGGATGCATCTGAGCTCAGTAACACCTTTTAGAGTCTCATCAGTAAATTTTATTAATCTAATTCTCTCCAACATCTGGAGGAGATGTTATAAATACTGACGCTCCAAAATTAAAGCTGCCCCACAGAAAAGGCTGCGTATCACACCGAAGACAGGCTTTTACTCACAAATATAAAACACAATTAATTCTCATAATTAATACCAACAACACGCCAGAATTCTTGTATTATCTTTCAAAGCGAGGAGGCACATTACTGCCTGGAATAAGGGTAAAAGCTGGAGCTGTGCCCGAGTTTAAATAGAGCTTTTCATCAGGAAACGTATTAAACTGAAAAGACGTTTTAATTTCCGACGATAAGAGCCTCGGTTTTTCTCTCGTAACAGTAATGCTTATAGGCGCCCGTTGCCCGAAAGTAAAAACGTCTTTTTAACAGCGGAGATAAAGAAAAAAGAAAATCAATTTGTGGAGTAATCTTCCTAATGAGACAACCAAACCAACAAAAAATATAAAATCTCAGAGTGTAACGAACAAAATCAAAGGGAGCTGCAGGTATCTTCATTTCCATTTCACTCTTTTCAGATATGTTTTTTTTTTATATAGAAAAGAGAATTATTGTCGCCCACGCCGCCTCTCGCTTTGAAACAAGCAGAAAAGCCATCACTGAAGCGAGCGTGTGTGTTTGTGTGTGTGTGTTGTGAAGTTTATTTGGCAGCACTTCTAACAGAAACCGAGGCCCTCGGTGCTCTCCAGCAGAAAAGCCCGGCCTGTCTCGACTCTATCTCAAAGAACCATATGCTTCTGGATCAGCGAGCCGGGTCGAGTGTGTGCGTTTGGGTCGAGTGTGTGTCCATATGTTCCACCATCTAAACATCCAGATGGTTTTAAAAAACAACAAAAAAATAAAACAAAAAAATGAGTCAACATGTTTTCGTCTTTAGCTATAATAAATATTCATCATGGATGAGGGAAGGGGCCGCCCCGCTAACCCGGCTAATTACAGACACTTTAAAGGGACAGTTCGGACATTTTCAAGGGTGAAACCAGTCGAGCTGACAGCCAATCAGAGGAGGATCTGTGTTAAATAAGTTAAACATTAAAAAAAATTATATTTTTCATCCTGTTAGGACTTTTACACAACTTAAACTCAAAACAACTGAAAACATGAGCTTCGTCATCTACAAATCAGAAAACTTCGGTGCAATAAAGTTATGTGTGAATTAAAGTGGTAAGATATATAAAATATAAGATTTTAAGTCCTTTATGAATTGCAGGTTAGAAGTAAACTCAAATGAAAAAGCTCAAATTGGGTTAAAAACCTTACAAACCTCATTTGGTTCATGACGAAACTTGACTCTAAGCCTAAACAAAAACCCAGACTTTGTGAAAGTTCACAAAGAACTGATGTTTTGACGGCCAACGGCATCTTTTTGCAGGACACCGTGTTAAAGCGAGGCAGACAAGAGGTCAGACTCACTCAGCAGGTCCAGACTGTTGGCAGCAGCACCTTCTGCTCGCCATCTGACCCCAACGCCAAGAAAACACACACTTCTATTATCCCTCACACACACACACAAACACACACACACACACACACACACCAAGGTTCATGTCTTACAATGAAACAGTAGCTGCAACATCAAGACCCCAATCAGGCCTTCATATCCCCCCCGTCAGGTCTGGAGCTGCTGCTGCCAAAAGAAACACAAAAGCAGCTCCTGCTCAGAACGAAAGCAGCAAACCTGGAGGGCAAGCTGCAGCCTGAGCAGCCGAAAGCTCGTCAGCATCAGCCGAAACTAAACGAGAGCCGGAAACATCCTTAACGAGAGTAATTTAGCATKTGATGCACGTGCTAACATGTTAACTGCTAGTTCGGCAGGGGGGAAATGGAAGAAAAAAAACAAAATGTGAGTTTTAAACTGCAAATAAACAAATATTTAAAAGTTTAGCTTTCTTTGAAGGAATGCATATCACCCGCTAACTTCTACRCTAAATCACCAAAAGCTTCTTATGATGGAAACGTGGAGAGCTGAAGCCGTTTTGAGCAAACCTTTTGAAATTACTCTTCAAGTTCAAGTTTATTTATACAGCACCAAGTCACAACATTCGTTGTCTCAGGGCACTGTACATAAAAAGAACAATGTAAAGAAGAAAGCAGCAGATTGTGTTGAATCACTTCATCACAGTCTCCCATCCTGAGCAAACGSTGGAGAGGAAAAACTCCCTGCTAATCAGGAAGAAACCTCCAGCAGAACCAGGCTCAGGACAGGAGACCATCTGCCTCTTTGCACCAATAATACAAAATCTCAGTTAGCTGTAAGAGTATTTGTTAGGACYGACTCTCAACCACTACTATACCAAATAGTTCAGTGTCTATAAAAATAACTGAGCTGTAGCCATTTTTGTGTTTGCTAAGATCAATTAGCTGTAAAGACCATCATCGGTTGTGTTCAAACCCAAATATTAGGAGTTGTAGAAGAACTACACCCATAAAAATAAAGGCCAAAGGGTGATAATTAATATCTGAACTCATCTACATTAGTGCCAGAAGTTTAAAATGTAAGAACAATGAGTTTGATCCATCAGGACAGGAAACCAGAGCTGTAGCTTCGGGTTCCCTCAGGAATTCAGTTATGCAGCGTCAACACGARCAAAGAAACCGAGTCCAACAACCCGGCCTCAGCTGCAAATCATCACATGCAGAAAAATAACAACAACACACCCTCAGCTTCCTCTTGACCCATTTCCCAAACCCTTCATCCCTCCCTCTCCTCGTCCTCTGGAAGCGCCGCCGACCCGAGCGCTTCTGCTTTGTGTCAGCAGATCAGAGGACGGACTCGGAGTTAATCAGTTTGTTTATGAGGCTGAAGGAATGCAGGGCAGGAATCATCTGTGAGGGGTGGGGGGCTTCTGATTGGTGCGTCTTCATGCTGCCTCAGTTCTGGGTTCAGTCGGGCAGTGACTTTAGCTGCTGTTTGCTCTGATTAATTAAAGAAAGGCTACAGAACGGACAAGAACAAGTTCGTCAAAAGAAAACAGGCGTTTCTCAGATTTTAACAGTTTGTAGTTTTTGATACGATTG